ACAATTTTTTGTGTCTTCCTCAGTGAAGCTTGTCACGTGTCACATTGAACCGCGACGAGGGCCGACATCGTCTACCAGATACCTTTGACCCAGTGTTGACGTCACACTTCAAAGAAGCCACGTGACAATCTTCACTGGGTCAGTCTACTGAGGAAGACCAGAGTGACTGATCTAAAGCTCTAGGTGAGAGAATTTTTTGTGTTGGACCAAAAGTTTTAACTTTAAACAAATGAAATAGTTTGTCAAAATGAAAGTTAACATTTTTTATCGTCATTGAAAACAATATAGAAACGATAATTTTAATAGCATGGCAGTGCCATTCTTGACCCGAATGGCATTATACATGTAGTTAGTTCTAAATGCTTCTTTGTGACCAACATACCCAATTTCCAACAATCCAAGAATTAAAATTCTAAGATAAGAATTCTTCAACCATATACATCACAGTAGTGATGCATACCTGAACTCAATTTTAGGTTCAGGTCCGGATTCAAGTCCAGAGGTTTAGGTTCAGTTTCGGACCTGTAAGTATCTAAACCCACGGCATATACAAAATTGCATGTTGGCAACCTTGCAATGTTGTCTGGGCGAAACTTTGGCCACATAACATAGAGGCCAGTACTTGACGATGCCCGATGGCAATGTTTTCTTCATTTTGCAGCAAAGATTTTGCAATCTACGGAAGGTTTTACTAAGTGGTTTGGAAAGAAAAGGGGTATGTGAAATGGTCTTTTATGGTAATAAGTCCAGACTTGGTTCTTGACTTTTAGGTTTTTTTTGGACTTGAACCTAAACATTCTTACAAGTCCGGATCCAAGTCCAGTGAACCGGTATGCATCACTACATCACAGAAACATTAAAATGTGTATAACTCAATGTCCTAGGACAAAAATCAACTACGTATTTCTTGATAACCTCACAATTTCACATAGGTATTCATCTGGAAACAAACGAGAAATAAAGGTGTTGGATAACAGAGAAACTAGACATGTAGCCTACCGTCCGACTCTTGGATCTTTATGCCAGGCAAACATCTTTTTTGTAAGCTGACTTCTGTCTCCCTGCAAAGTTGAAAAATAACATTTAGTTAGTAGGGGCACTATCAGTCACAAATCACGAATCACATTAATCTGCTTAATTATTATGTTTTTGTTTATGTGAAACACTAGATATCAAGCTCAAGGCCTTAGTAAAAAAAATTATGTTGTGTTTCGGACTCCTGTTTAAGTCGTGAAAAAATTAGGGTCTGTAGCCAAGTGTAGCTTCAGGGCCTGCTGACACGTTGGCCGCTGACTGGATCTAAACATGAGAAATGGTAGACAAAGGAGTTAGGAAATAAATAATAATAAAAAGAAATCCCAAGTGATGCATCAGGACTATGGCCTAGGTCTGTTACCATGGTAACTAGTGTTGGGTTACATCATGTTGCAGTTTTATAGCAGGAGGGATTTAGACTCCTGTCTGACCATATATATGAATGTGTTTGAGTAGGAATTAACAGAGCAGACCAAGGTAAACATTATGCCTTGCAAATATTACCAAGCATGACAAGGAAAAATCTGAACAAGAAAATACAAAAGAAACTGGAATGGTAATATTTGCAAGGCAAATGCAATGTTTACCTTGGTCTGCTCTGTTAATTCCTACTCAAACACATTCATACAGGAGTCTAAATTCCTCCTGCTATAAAACTGCAACATGATGTAACCCGACACTAGTTACCATGGTAACAGACACAACATTGGTTCAGGTCATTGAGGTCACTGTTTGGAGAAGAAGAAGAGGAAGAGGAAACTGAGGAAAAACAATATGTTTTCCTTCAGTAAACATAAATACACAAGAGTGTAGTAAACAATACATTAAAAAAACTTGCTTCTGGTGTGGCGCTTGTACCATCTTCCTGGGCAGGGCTTGCAGCCGACTTTGTAGGGGTAGGGCTGTCAGCAGGGGCAGGACTGCCTGCAGCAGCTGGGCCAGGGTTCTCCACAGGAGCAGGGTTCTCAGCAGGGATGACATAGGTCCTGGACAGGTCAGAGTCTGGCCTGATGGGCGAGAACGATGACATCCTCCTTGGCCTGATGTCCTGGACCAGGGTTCTCGCCAGCGCATTTGAGCGTCGGGGGCCCCGACGCTGTGAATTTTCACCCCAACGCTGTGATTTTGCCCCGACGCTGTGGTGCAGCCAGCGTCGGGGGGGTTTTGTTGTTTTTTCCCTTTTCAATCTGCCCTGTAGTAATAGTGAATGAATAGTACTTGATTTGAATTTGAAAGCAAATATTGTCTTTGCCCTTGTCACAAGGAACACCTCAGACAATGGAGAACAATGTAATTAATTGGCCCGGGGGAAAGTAAAGGTACCGCTCGGACTCGCCCAGTCGGGAAAATGATCTTCGGGGACTCCCTGAGTATAGCAACCAATTTTTCCCGGTAAAAATACAATTGGTCATTTCATACTTCACTGCACACAGAAATGAAATCAAACCCAACAACAATAATCAAACTATATCCAAAGTAGCATTTAAGCTTTACTAATTATCATTTTTACTGTTTGTTTGTTGTCCTGTTCTTGCAATTAGCCCTCGGGCATGAATTTGCAATATAATTTCTTACATGTGCTGGCGTTAAGTCTCTCCTCAAACACTGTGACCAAACCTTTATTTAATGTCCCATTCAAAAAGACAATAACCAATGCTAGGTACTCATATTCACCCAAGTCAATTGAGACAATAGGATTCTAACCAAGAACCCTACCCACAAGACCACCTTGCCAGGAGTACTTACTGATAAGGCCACACCAAGTAAATTTTATGGATGACGTCCGCGCGCGCATTGATTTTGGCCTGTTCCTAGAAAAAAAAAGAAGAAATTCTGCTTCCTGTAACTATGACCAAAGAGTCATGACAGTGCCGCAAATCGTCAGATTGACGTGAAACCCGTAACGCGAGAACAGGGCAGGACGACAACTGCTGTTCCACCTGATTTATTGCTGTTTTGATGATGAATAAAAGACTTCTTGCTTGTCACACTGTGTCACCTCATTCAATTTGTGTCCTAACATTTGTCGTCTCTTAGTATATTTCTAAATCTAGGCATCTTGTTTTTTAGGGCCCTTCTTGTTTTTTTTTCGCCCTCTCGCATTAGATTTAGGGTCTCCAAAGGACGTCATCCATAAAATTTACTTGGTGTGGCCTAATGTAAATGCCTCGAAATGACTTGTGCTTCAATGTACAGGTCAAAGTTCAATTTACCCAAATGGAACTTGGAATTTCCATGTGATTTTCAAGATTTGTATGTCCAACTAGCTTCAAGATATATTTGACTTGTTTCCTTCAGACTGTGGAATATTAGAGATATGCTATGTACGTATATTTCATTTTAAAATGTAGGCTGTTTCCCATTTTCCTGGATGATTTTTCTCCAGTCTATCAAAATTTGCCAGGTTTGCATGCACACACCTCATATCTTCTGTGTGCACCGACTACAGGTAATATTCAATTTCAATGAGACTATAATAATAATAGTATGATCCCTCTATCATCTTGAATTTCACAATTCTCTATCAGAAGAATGTTGTGCTGAAGAAAATTTTATGCATCTTGTTGTATACCTAGAGTCTGAAGGCTAAATTAATTGAATTTTGCATGTAGATTTTTTAAATTGCATGCAATTTTGCATGAAACAAAAAAAAGCCAGTGTAAGTCAGACCTTAAATGTGGTAGTGATTTTACCTTTAATGTGCAGTGATTTTAGGTGGTATTTACTAACTAATTGGAACAGTAAGTACATGATTTTTCAGCATAGGGTGATCAGATTTCAATGGTACGTTCGGCAAGCCGCAATATTACAACAGTTGTTTTGTATTGTTTTAAAGCTAAACAAATATTTTACCCCAAAACTGATGCAAGTGTGCAAATAGAAAAAAGTTTGACCATGCAAGTGTCCGAAGGAATTGTCAAATAGGATGACAAATCAAAATGGCCAAAGTGTGTAACTGTGTATGTAAGGATGCATAAATTGTATCCATTGAATACAGTCATGATCACACTTGTCTTAAGGGCACAGGGTAAGTCCTTTGATGGAACCCTAAAGATTCCTAGGGGCTGTGACAAGTGGGAGTACTTACTAGTAGCTATTAGGCAACAAAATTACACAGAAGGGTGGTTTTGCCATGAAAACATTAACATCATCAGAGAAAGAAGACAGAGATCTAGATAGTGTCATAACTGTTAAATGCCATTAGCAATCTACATGACCTGTTTGGTCACCGGGCATTGTGTGTCCCTGTGTGTGTGTGTGTGTGAGTGTGTGTGTGTGTGTGTGTGTGTGTGTGTGTGTGTGTGTGTGTGTGTGTTGGGGGGCCACAACACTCACCATTATTCTGTTAAATGAAATAAAGTGAAAATTTCCAAATTTACTACCTGGTCTGGTACCTGAATTTCAAGCAAAAATTTAAAACGTTTTTAAAGAATTTTCAAACTTTTAACATCTGCATATTTCGTTAAAATATTTAAGGTTGAATTCATTAGTGGGGATAACCCAGCTGAAATAAATAGTACCTCTGTCAGTAGTTAACCAGTTTGTTTAGGGTTTCAACCGGCTTCTCCGAAACTAACTCATGAGGAGGCTTGTACAGTTCAAATGCCCTGTACAAAACCATGTACAAGTTCCCTCCAACTCTAGCCTGGTATCCAGCCTTGTTAGCTTTAGTCCGCTACCCAAGATCTGCTCCCCGCCGGATCTTGGGTAGCGGACTAAAGCTAACAAGGCTGGATACCAGGCTACTCCAACTCGACCCCGAAACTTCTTGATTGTGTCCTTTTTTTTTGAGGTTTTACTAGAAATCAACTTGCAATGGAATCAGCATACACATTCTGGTAATTGCAGCTCCTCATATCCCTTTTTGGAATCAGCATTAAGAGATGCATTTAGAAAGCTGACAGAGCAGTAAGGGGAACAGGGTGGGATGCCCTTTTACCTGGAAAACTTTGGGTGACTACATGACTTTTCTATGACTTAATATGAGGTCAAATAGCCATACATTTGTATATGAATTTCAGATGTACAATTTGAATGCAGTCAGTGGCATGGGTTTTGACCAGCTTATCCCCACTGAATTTAACCAGTTATGTGTTCAAAGCCTGGTATGAAAGGGAAACTACAACATGTAACTTTTAGTTAGGTTTGAGTTTTTCTTGCATGGAAGACAAAAATACCTTTTTTGAAATGAGTGGTTTCTGTGATGTTACCCCCACCATGATTGTGGTGGGGCAAATCAACTCCTTGAGTGTAAAACTCCTACAGGGGTTACACTCCTACCGGGCGGTCTGTTGAGCTGGACAGGGAAACTATCTTTTAGAGCTTCGAAGACAGCCTGCGCCAACCACGATAGACTGGATACCACTGCTACTTTTACACAGTCATTTAAATCGTTACTGACTCATAGACACGAAGACATGTATGAACTTACGATACAATCAAATCTGTCTCTTCAACCCGACCACCTGGCCATAGTGACTGCTTTTTCTTGATCCACAAAAATATCCTCATTGACGAAAGAACTAAACAACCTGTAGCCAAGTGTAGGTAGGGATTTTCTCTCCCTTTTTTAGTAGACTTTGGCAATCTCTAATGATCCAACTTATACAATATAGTTTACCAAAGTAAAGTTTGCGTGAGGACACTTATATTTTTTTTTAATTTATGTCATGTATTATGCCAAATGGTGGAAAATTATGTATAATGTTTCATCACTCAGGTGTCAGACCATGGAGCTAGAAAAGGTCAATCACCTCGAAAATTTGTCCATTGCAGGTATCCACAAAAAAAAAGGGTTAGGGTTGGTAGTTTTTTCTAGGGTCGGTCGGGAAAAAGGAAACACATGTTTGTTTGTTTTTTTTCCTAGGCCCAATCTGTCAAGGAAGCTGTCAAGCTCAAAGGTGTTTGTATAGTATACAGTATAAAATGGAAATAGTACACCTTTAGACTAGCCGTGGACGACTCTGTAACCCTTTTTGCATGATAATGACATGAGAGAACTCTCTTTCCCAGGAAGCAGTGTCTAGCAAATCAGTAAATGAGTTCAAGAACCATATTGCACACGAGTGGAAGAATCACCAGGATATGTACAACTACACCTTTACGTATTGAACACATGAGAAGAATTGCTACCGCCGAAACTACCCGAAGTGCGGTCTCATTACCCACACAGGGTACCTATTGACCGGCTACAGGTGAGAAATACAGGTGAGAAATAATGCCGGGTACCCGGCATTATCATGCAAAAAGGGTTACAGAGTCGTCCACGGCTAACCTTTAGACTAGTCTATCGCAAACTATAGAATGCTAAAATCTCGTAAACAAAAGGTACAAGAGCAGTTGAAGCGTAAATATCAACTACTGTGCCACGTACAACGCTCAGTGCTGCCACTGTATTTTTTGCGGTCGCCCTACCCTGGGTGCCAGCCAAGTTTACACACCGCTAACCGTTTCCTTCGGCAGCCGGGGAAGCTTATCGGTCCTCCAACTCGTTTGGAGGGCGGCCAAACTCCGCCGGGCTAGACTCCCCCGTAGCGGTAATTTAGACTGGCGGGCGAAGGGCTCTTGCCGCCCGGAAAACGAGTTCTGGCATCCAGGGTACGGTCGCCCGGACTCAAACAACCAAGGGTGGCCATTTTCACTCACCATCGCGTCGGCTGTGTTGTGTAGAGGACGCAGAGCACTGCAGAGGACGCAGAGCACTGCCACGATATGTGAGAAAACGGCGTTAGAAATCACTCGGAATTTCGCAAAACTCGGTAAAAATTCATTGACGGGACAGACGGGAAAAACAAAATTTCGACAAAAACCATGGAGGTAAAAATACCTCCATGCAAAAACGAAGCTCAACTTTGCCGCTAAGACAGCCTCGTTTCAAATAGCGAGCTTTGATTCGCTTACTGTTATGCAATATTTACTTTGCGTGGCTCTGATTGGTTTGGATACAAAAAAAATCGCACCATTGGTAAACTTTTTAGACCTACGGGACATTATGGACGAATACACTTGAATATGGGTGTTATACATATCTATTTTTAATAAGTTACAAAATTATAAAAATAAGATAAACACTCAAGATAAGCCTTAAATCATATCTTTCAAATAAATCTTTTAACAATGATATCCGCCAACTAACTCATTACTGCGGGTTTTATTTTCATAAATGCCTCCCATATTGAAGTGGTATAGACCAAACGCGCCAACTATGAAATCTAGAAGGGTGGGAGGGCAGCTTTGATAGGACGTAAACGTTTTGTCCTGTTTACCTCTACTAAAATTGGATTATTTTAAAGCATTTGTAATCCCCAATTGTCTGAGATGTAACAAGTCACAAGGTACATGTATGTCGTTTTTTTTTGTCTTTCTTGTGTACCTATCGGTGCCAAATGCCGTCCAAACATTTTCCCACATGATGATGATGATGTTACTTACTAGTAGTATGAGGAAATATAAAATTATTTTGTCATATTCCTTTTTTGCAAAAATACAGATAACGTAACATGTAGCTATAGAGAACTTATAAAAATGGTAGTGCTGAAGTCAAACCTGTCTGGTGCTCAACACATGAAACAGTTGTTTATAAATTGGGCCGTTCAAAAAAATAACTCAGGAGGGGTTGAAGTCGGATTTTACATACAATGTAAGGGGGTTAGTGAGTGTGGATTTGGATTGAAGGGGTTTAACCCTGGATTTGGATGAAATTTTAGGGGGGTCAAGTCACTTGGATAGAATTTATAAGGGGCTAAGGCCCCTGGATGAAGGGGGGTCAAGGCCCTTGGATAATAATGAAAGGGGAGTCAAAAAGTAGAAAATCCAAGCTCTTCAACCCCCCCTCCTCAGTTATTTTTTTGAACGGCCCATTAAATAATATAAATTTGGTGAACCATGTATTAAACCAGTAAACAGATATTCTGGTAAAATTCATAAAGTCTGTACAGCTGCTTTATCATTAAAAAAATTTAAATCAAAGAAATATGGCTGTAGCAAGATTTAATTCTATATTTGATGGGGGAGAGTCAAATGTACAGTAAAAAAAAGGCTTCCAGATACACCTTGAACAGTTTATTATCCTACTCGTTGATGTTTATCCAGGATATGAATTCCCCAGTTCCAGAGGCAGGGCAGCTCACTCCTAGCCTGGTTGCCATAGTTACGGACGACTCCCTTAATTGTCACTGGCTACCACTAGTACCAGTGCCAGCTGTTGTCAATATCAGTCAGTGAGTCCAAACTCTGGTACTCTACTCTTCTCCATTTGCCAACATGACAATAGAGAGCTGGTGGAATTTAATCTATAGAGCAGCCAGGCTAGCTCACTACATCTCTCGCATGTTGCTTTTGTATGAATGACCAGAATGACCACTTGGTGGAATAGTCTACCAGAGGAAGTGGTATAACTACTAGTATAAGCACCCACAGTGAACTATGGACTGGATAAATACATGGAGAATCACCCAGGACTGTCCACATATGGCAACATTGGCAAGACGTTCCCTTACCCTGGCCTTTAAACATGTGAAAACAGTGAGATTGTTTCCAGACAAGGCCATGTTACCCTGGACCTTATTGTGAACACTAGCCTTACTTTGTACTGTGTGCTGTTTTCAACCCTTGTAACTATGCTGCTGGGACAAATAAAAGCACAGAACATCGTTGAAGCCTTGTTTTCATCTCGTGTACACCGTGTGCGGTACTTGTATGTTAGTTAAAGCCCTTCCACAACCATCAGCATGGTCGCATATGGCGGCGCCCATCTCCATCTGTTAGTCCACACAGTTGTGCAATCACCACAGCAGGGGGCTAGTCCTTTGGCAGTGATGTGTGTTGAACTCCCATACTCGTTCTTAAATGTGTGTGCTAAGCAAAAAAGGCAGTATGTACCATTTTTAAAAGTCTTTAGTGTGACTCGGCTGGGGATCGAACTCACGACCTACCAAATGCAAGGCGAGCACTCTACCCACTTGGCCATTGTACTTATATAAAGTACCAATGTCTGACACTTGGAGACTGAGCTGGACAGTTTGGGCATTGATTCATATCTGTCGTCTCAACATGAATAATCATGAGCCACTGTACTTTATACTAAAGAACACAGAATGATGCAGAAACTAACTTCTGTTTGTTACGATTGAGTAGGAGAGGGTTTACTTCTGATCATAAGTTTGGTCATTTAAATCCAAAACATTAACAGTGATAAAAGAGATAACTTTTAAATCATTGCTGATGTCTACTGTTTAAAGGCATATGTAAAGTTTTCGGTTTTTATACTTTTAGCTGAAAACAATCCAGAACTTTCTGAAAAAATTCATATAGTGTCAAGACAATGCATAACATCAAGATTTTATACCAACCGGAGATACAAACATGTATGAAACTGTCATTTCCACCAGACATCCCCCCAGGCAGTGTCCTTGCATTCTCCCCATGCAGAGGTGCTTCCGCAGCATATATAGCCTTACATAGCTTAGGCTGACGGATTTGCCGCGGGACAGCTCTGTCCTGGGACAATGCGTCGTTGATAAGGCCACAGAAAGTAAATTTGATGGATGACATCCTCCGCAGACTCCAAATGTAATGCGATAGGGCGAAAACAAAACAAGGCAGGCAAAAAAAAGTTTACTGCCAACTGTTACATCATACATTTGTTACTGAAATAGCTTTAAAAATAGGTTTTCAATTATGATTCAGTGAGACCATCACACTAGTATAGACAGCCACCATCACATATAAAAGGAATGAAATACTTCTCTGCATCAAAGTAAAAGACAAAGCAATGGGTCATGTCTTGTCTCCTCTCTTCATAGTTATCTGACATTCACCTTCCGGCCTGGCAGCAGACATCTTTGCAAATTTGGGACATGTTGACCCCTGTCAGAGGGCAAAAAATAATTTTTTTTTCAAAATCAGGCAAAAATTAATGCGCGCGCTGATGTCATTCATAAAAATTACTTGCTGTGGCCTAAGCTGATCACAGCACAAAATGTTTTGATGATATTTTTTTAAACCTTGCCGGGCTCAGTATGTTTACTGTAGTACAATATACACATTGTACTACAATATGATGATACAAGGAAGGCTTTCTGCACCCATAGAACTTAGTACAATTTGCAAAGTGGTTGTTTATGGTTTTAGCTAAAAACATACAGGTACGCCAAGGCCAAAAAAATTAATTTCCTTCTAAAAAGCCCAGACAATGCATAACATCAGAATGCCTACATTATAGCCCAACCGCTGTTACATACATGCATGAAAGTGGTGAAACTGTCATTTCCACCAGACATCCCCCCAGGCAG